ATACTTGTCTTAAGCCTTGTGTCCACGATCCAAGAACTTGGTCCAAGTTCTAGTTTCGAGAAATGTGTAGCCAATCAACGTGCAGCTATTCCATAAAAGTTGCAAGGTGATTGGCTACGCATTTCTCGGAACTAGAACTTGGATACAGTTCTTGAATCGTGGACACAAGGGGTGCTTTCGCGACGTAGAGTAAAATGATCCGGATCAAAATGATCCGTGCTATGATTGGTCAAATCTGAAATTTCGTAGCATCTCATTGAAATTTTATTCAATGAAATTTCAGATTTGACCAATCATAGCACGGATCATTTTGATCCGGATCATTTTACTCTACGTCGCGAAAGCACCCAAGGCTTTACTCCAATTTATTGCACTAGTTCACCAGTGCACAGTGCAGGAACAGAAAACAAGCCCATTGACGCGGTTCTATCAGAATGAGGCTGGATTCACATGGAGCGTAAGTTGCGTAGCGCAACCTGCGTATCGCCAATCACAGGACTAGTTCAACGGAATTATTGAAACGGTTCTATCAGAATGACCCTGTGATTGGTGATACGCAGGTTACGCTACGCAAGTCACGCTCCATGTGAATCCAGCCTAATAGAATCCGTAGTTCACAGCTGGCCGACAGGCGTCTCCACTATGTCTCCCGTTTTGACCCTCAATACAAGTTATCCGTCTAGTGTATAGTATATAAAGCCCGCTGCAGACGATGCTATTTTTCCTGCTGGATTGCTTGCAATTTAGTAAATTACTATCATTGCACCACTCAGCATTCAGGATTCCTAGTAATTTACTAAATTGCAAGCAATCCAGCAGGAAAAATAGCATCGTCTGCAGCGGGCTTAACATTGCTTGTGGAATCAATTTGCAAGATTTTTTTCTTTATCCAGTTTATTTTATATATAAACATTATTAACACCAAGAGAGGATTTTGGAGAAAACCTGCTCGTTTATTAATATTATGCTTATTATTTTAATTAACAGCTTCTTTTGATTTTGCACTTTAAGGCCCGGTTTCACCAACGCGAGTTAATCTAATCGGTCGGTTAACTTGACAGGGTGCCAACATAAAACTTCTTTATTAACCAAGAAAATAGGTTAATAAAGAAGTTTTATGTTGGCACCCTGTCAAGTTAACCGACCGATTAGATTAACTCGCGTTGGTGAAACCGGGCCTAAAGGTTCGCAATCCTGGATTTATTTATCAATGTTTATTAAAAATGGTATGTACATAATCATAAAATTTCCTATTGATTTTTCTTTATTTGTCTTAAAAATTATGTGTAACAAATTAATCTAGGAATTAAGGCATTGAGAGTCAAATATAGGTCTTTGTGTATATCAAATTAGCATTGTTTAATAAAACTTGTAAAATTGACTGAACGGTTGTCTTAGCTTTGTTTCCTTGCCTAAGGACTCGGCCAATCAAATAACAGACTGACCGGTCATAATTTTAACCTTAATCTCAATGTTTTTCTCTCAGATTAACTTCTTTCAATATTGAAAGTCCTATGTTTAAATTTTCTTTTATTGGTTAATATTTAAGTTATTTTTATTATTAACATTACTCTTTCTTTTTATGTTCAGGTTCATCTCATAATGAATTGTAGCTAACAATTCAATACGTGCAAGAGAATATAACTGTTTGTGTGTAGTCTTACATTGCAAGTTGAATGCAGTAATGGATGCAGATATACTCAGAGTAATATTACAAAGCTACAGTGATGCAAAAAATATTATTCAGTCTAACAATGATGAAATTATGCCGAAGGAAACTTTGCTCTGCATAAAATCTAACGCTGTGTCCAGTACTTTATGTATATCGTTGAGCAATCTTCTATGTTATAAGATATCCAAGGAGGCTTATCAACGTTATTCAATTCGATTATTGATTATCGTATGTTGATTATTTTTAAGTATACATAGAAAATATGGATTGATATATTTTTTAAGTTACTTTACAATTCATATTTTAACATAATTGTGTTACAGGACGTCTTACGGAAATGTTGCAGAATGACAAGCAATTTTAAACATTTAAAGATGTTTGTATCTAAAGAAAATAGTTTGAGGTTTATGAATATTCTTTTGGACAAATATCTCACAGTCGAAGTTTTGAATAAGTGCCACTCGGAAGACGTTTTGAGACATTTAACTCTTTCTTTAATGCATCTGTCACTTAAGAATGCAATTTTTATGCATCACACTGATCGATTGCTTGTGAGACTTTTACAAATGGAAGCAAACGATCAAATTAATAGACTGTTACATGACGCTCTCTGCTCAAACTTGCATCTCAAACTATCTACGGAGGAAGAAATATATGCTCTACAAAAATTAAAATTGATAGAGGAACCTTTGCTCAATAGTTTCGTAGACATGTTTTCCAATTTAAAGGGCACAAATCATGTAGCTACCCAATGTAACGAGGAAATGCTAAACAAATTATTGGACTTTAGCGCCAGATCTGCGTATATTTTTCAATTAATGTGTAATTTTTTAAAGGAATTGTTAGTTAAACTGCAATATGCATCCGCTGTTCTGGATTTCACAAGTTTGATGTTAAAACGGGTATCTATTTGTTGTGAAAATCACGGTAGAGATATATTGGACCTTTATCCCAGGAAGCTGCGTTTTTGTGTAATTTTATTAAGGATAAAGCCCAAGCACCATACAGTGCACACACAAAACTATACACTACAGACTATGAAACAAATCTACAATGAAAATAAGGACGTTTCATTAATTTTAATATCCCACTTTCTTGAGTGGCTAGAATATTTTACACATTATATCACTAATATACAAAATTGACTAGAAAGAATGCAGCAATAGAACCTTATTTAAATGTAATTATACTAATGTTAATGTTAATGTAATTATTTTATATTTAATTGCAGAAATATTTACATACATTTTTAGATCTGATATATTTTAATAGATATAATAATTTACACTTTAAAATAATGACAAAAGTATAATGTTAAAAACAAATATTTAATTATATTGTGCGACAGAATAAATGCTGAGCTTCCATTAAAAAAAGATATTGATAGCCTAAAACTTTATACAGGTCACACTGCAAGTGATTAAAAATGTATAGTGTGTATACATGATCAACAAATAATACAATCGTACACTATGCAAATAATTTGTTTTAAAGGTTCAGTTTTAATCGTGTTTATAAATTATACCCTTACGGAAAAAACACTCAAGTTTTAGCGTTAACACACGAATTTACTCTCAAATTTGGGCGTAAACACCCAAATTTGAGAATAAATTCGGACAATCGAGTGTTAACACTTGAGTGTTTTTTCCGTAAGGGTATAATTTATAAACACGATTGTTTATTGCGACTAATATTACCACATGCCTCAGTGGTCGAATTGGTGAGACGCCCACCTGGAGTGTAGGGAGGTCCAGGTTCAAACCCTGGCTGAGGTGATATTTTTCGCAATAAATTTCTTTAATTAGAATTTACCAGCCATTGGTAGTCATGCAAATTTCTACATTGAAAAATGTATAGTTTACATCATAGTATAACTACCCAGATAGCCAAATCTGTTAAAATAGGCTTTGCAAACTGTGTGGCACTCTATATTGGAATAATTTTGACAGTAGCAAGGTATGATCTGCAGCATGGAGTCTGTACGACAACGTTTCCACCGAGGGTCAGATGTTGGCTAGAGTCGGGGTCAGAATCGGGTTGGGTTTGCTTCGGTGGAAACGCCAAATTCAAACCTGAACCCTACCTTATAAAATTTTAAGATAAAACAGAATCGAGGTAAATCAAAACGCTACTTAATACTATTTAACCTGATGGCAACACTACAGGGACCTAACAAGACTCTTGTTTCCACCGAACCTCATTAGCCCCTTAACATTTTATAAGGCAGGGCTCGGTGGGCGTAGCGTCGCTCGTTACTCGTAGCTCACCACCCGTGCCGCTCGCCGCTGCCCCTCGCCAGGGGCTTCTCCTGTAGCTCGGATGACAAACAATTCAGTGTCAACTTATTTTCTTCTATATTCTTCTATAATTCTTCTATAAACTCAACAAAATCTACAAAATAAACTAAACATTCTCAACAGTTTTATAGGATTCAATAGAAAAGTAGAATTTGAGGCAATTATTTAGATTTACTGACCACCCACCAATTTCGATGACCTTGACATATATTTATATATCTTGACAATATATGTGAAGATCATCGAAATTGGAGGGTGATCCGTAAATCTAAATAATTGCCAACTCTTTTCTCAATAGTGTCAATAGAATTTAACAGTTTTACACAATAAACAGAGTTATTAAGTAAATATTAATGTTAATCTTATTGCTGGGCTAATCAGTCATAAATTATCGAAGAAAGGGTGGTAATTCCTGGGTAAAACGTAATATGTATTGGATATGACAAATGTTGATAAGATAAAAGGATTTATTATTTATAAATAAATGTAATTTAAAAATATATAAAAATAAATATGTCGTATCTTGTTGATTTGATTACAATTTGAAGTGCAAATTTATCGTATCTACAAAACTTACGCTTTTGCGATTCCTACGAATGTCAAATTAAATAATAAAACTGTATTTTAATTCCAAATTACTACACTTTTGATATAATAAAGCGAACTATCCTGTTTACTGTTTATCAACGAAAGGAAAGTTTGTGAATCCTGTATTTCTGTAAAGTGACGGTTCTTGAGACACGATCTCACGAAAAAGATCAGTTGTTATTAATATTAAAATATGAGGAAATCTCGACAACTATTTCAATGTACGATGTACATACTCGGGAAACCGGAAATTACATCGAGATAAATCAAGACACGATCTTGCAAAAGAGATCAGTCGTATGGCCTTTTTGCAGATTTCATTACAAATCTCTGAAAATTGTGTTGGAATAGAGCAATTATTAAACGAATCGTATTCAGAGCTCAAAAAGCTGTAAGAAACAATAATTTAGTTACGCTCGGAAAAAGTAGATTTTTGTTGAACAGTGTTGTCAGGTGCCTTGTATAAGAATGTCTTACGCGATGTTGCGGTGACAAAGCGATACTATGATAATTTCGCATTGTAATGAAATGTATCGCGCAACGCTTGAAAAGAGCTCGTATCGTGCATGCGAGAAGATGAAAGGTTGACTTAAAAGGTTTGCAACAGATTGTTATCTTTAATAAATCAAATGACATACAAAGGCCAATCGCAGCAATTCTCATTGTTTTTCTGCAACAACAAACTTTGATTCTCATACCCTATTGATTTAAATGTAATAATTCGCAAGGACACGTATTATCTCCTGCGACATAACTTCCTCTGGAGGATCGCAGTATTAACGTATTTCAACGGCGCATCGTCCTCGCGATTGGCTTTCCTCTTTCTCAATCTCTTGTCTCGCCTTACAAAGAGTAGCTCGCTCGTTTTTCGATTGTCGAGCTTACACATGTACACGAATTTGACATTCACGCAAACATGCACACACACGCGAGAGCGCGCCGGGAGGAAAAAAAGAAAAACAACGCGCCAAAAGACACTATTAATTCTGCTCAATCCATTCAATCGTTGAATCTAAGTAACGTCTAATTTAACGCTATCGAAATTCTGATCGTCCGTCTCTTCTCTCCCTGCTTCCCTTCCGGTTCTTCTTTTCCCCTTCTCTCTCCCTTTTAGCTAGCTACTTGTCTATCGCCTCTATTATTTCGTTTTCGGAAACCACTCAAAATAAACAAAGCGAAAGAAGAAAGAAAGTACATTTCAGTATAGGCAAGAGGAGAGAGGGAAGATTCGACTGAAATCGAAGTTGGGAATGAGAGACATAAGAAGACGAAAAAAAACGGAAAAAAAGCTACTGAATTCGCAAATTCAACTGATCATTGTTGTAATAAATGCTAAAAAAAAAGAAGGAAGTCGGCCCTACTTGAGGACCGATTCAACGTAACTTTCATTACTAATGACATCAGTACACAACTAGCGCTCCAATAATAATAAGTATTAATAGTTAATCGTAATGGTAATATAAGAAGAATAATCGTAATATTAAGAATAATGACAATATAATCGCAATAATAATAATGACAATAAAAATAAGAATAATCGCAACAACGATGCAGTTTTCATTCTTAACTTTGTTTTTTCTTTTTCTTTTTTTTTTTACGAACCGTAAATTCGCGCAGTGAGAAAGATTATATCGCGATTGACGAGTCGTCCCGCAACAAAAGATCTTGGATCGCATTCTGTTTATGGCGCAAATGTCCGGTGTTGTCGCATAACACATAACTGTCGTCCCCTATGCAATATCTACGGAAAAAGTCTACGTGACAATAATAGAGCGTGACAATGGATAACAGTGGCGGTGGGCGGTGTGTGTGTGTGTGTGTGTGTGTGTGTACGCGCGCGCGCGCGTGTGTATATGTGTGTGAGGGCGCACGCGTGTGTGTGTGTGTGTGTGTGTGTGTGTGGGTATATGTAACTTCACCGAATATATTAAAAACACAAGTATGTGGAATTTACAGCACATCCTTGTGGGCGCTTTAACACGTCCCAGCAAAAAGGTGTACCTTCATTCACCGCGCAACATTCATTCGTAAAAGCAAACAAAACACCAAAAAGCTATCCCGTAACAACCACCCTCTCTCTTATTATATGTATATTACTGAAGATAATGAGAAACAAAGAAAAACAAAAAGAAAACAAAAGAACATTCGATAGAAATAACTAATCAAATAAGTCGTACAAAATGAAATTTACGTGTGACAATAGTATAATATTAATTTTTTTTTTCGTGTTGCTTTACTTCAATAGTACTTCTCTCACTAGACACGATTCAACATATAGAAAGTTCATCATAATTATTTAATAATTGTTTTATCATTAATAATTATTCTCTTAAAGCTGTCTAAAGACTCTCTGCGTGGCAGGAGTATTGTGGGTTTTTTTCTTGTTTCATTTATTTTATATTACTTTTACTCTTACATGTATCAGACGGTATCTCTTCACTTCCGTTTTTTTATATCTGTTTTTTCTTTATCTTTCTCGCTCTTTGCGTATTTTTTATTTTGTTTTAGTTAGGTACGTTTGTAGTTGTCCTCGCTCGTTAATAACACATTTGTGTTTCTGCACGCGCTGTTTTGCGTATGCATCTTATAAGACAGTGTCCCCTTTCTCTAGTCACACCATAGAAGGATGTATGTGTGTATGTCTGTGTATATATTTATATCTTAAATATTTACTACTTGTGGATGCTTCGTGATTTGTAATTTGTATAGATCACAATATCATGCCATCTGCGCCATTGAACGATTTTTTTTTCTATGACGTTTCTCTGCCGTTCTCATTTACAACGCTCGAACGTTTGAACACTATACAATGTTTCTGCACAGATTGATTCTTGCTGATCCCACTTCGCTTTGAATAAAGTCGATTAAGTTTTTTTTTTAATGATAAATAACGAACGTAAAGTATGACCGTAAAAGGTTATCAACAAGATATGAAATATATTTAATTAGATATCGACATGTAACAATACACACACGTACACACACAAAGTAAATTACTAGAAATTACTATTATCAGTAAATCTTAAAATATGAGTTTTATATAAAAATATCTCGGATGAGATTTATTTACCTTCGAAAGATGTTAGTCTTATAGTCAGCACAGTTTGGTTCCAGATAGATGTTCCAAAGTTTTTTCAAGATCATGTTTATTTTTGTTTAATTGAATCATTAAATTGTGTCTTTTTTTTCATGTAAATCGAACTCTTTCCACTCATTCTGCATTAAAAAATATTATATCATTAGAAAATGAATATAACGAAACGTTTTAGATTTTCGTATCCTGATACTCGAATGTAAAATATAAAATATCTCATTAAAGTAGTTACTTTCCGATGCTCTTATATTTTACATAGAATGTCAAAACTGAATTAATGACCTTGTTTTTTGCATACAATTGATACAATGCATCTGCAATGAGCAATGGCATTTCTTCTTTAAATGCAATTACTCATTTTTTTAATCGATTCTTTTTGTCATTTATATATTTTTAATAATTAAGACATAATTATTGAAAAATAAATGCTTAATGAGACAATTCGGGTTTTTCATATATCAAAATATATCGTCGGATAAAATATCTCGTTGACTACTTACTTTTTCATGATTTTACGATTAATTTTCTTGCATGCACAATGATAAGAGAATCGATTTGTGTAAAAAATATGTGATTCTATATTTTTTAATATGAATAATTGTGAAAAAATATGAAAAATCTCAGAAACACTATCACCTGACACTTACACTGATTATAAATCCTCATTTGAAACTAGGTAAATATTTAATCTAAAAAATTTTTCTACAAAACTCATATCTTAAGATTTATTGAGATTTGTATAATTTGGTGCTTTCTTATATATATGTATACATCTGATATATACATACATATATGTGTGTATGTGTGTGTATATGTGTCATTCATTCATTCATGTTTAAAGACAATGGAACAAAATTTAATTGAAAGAAACTGTAAACGGAAAAACCGAGACTCCTCAATGCTTTACTCACTTGGGCGTACTTGACAAATGTTATTGTATAATTTATATTTCATATATTCATCAAAACTTACGTGCTAAGTAAATTCAGACCAGCCGAAATTGCAATTTTAGAAGAAAATGCAACTGAGGAATAATATTTTATCAAAATATGAATAAGTCGCTAGAAAATAAATAAGATTTTATTCCTTTTATATCGAAAATGTGAATGCGCCAATCATACATTCACTTCGATTCAATATCAATTAGATAAGTTTCTTTTTAATTAGTTTCTTCTTAATATGTATTTACGTGCCCTTCGTTTCCTCTATACGTTTTGCCATTCATTCGCACCAGTGCGAAATATAACTGATTTAGATCATTTTGCCATTTCATTTGGAAGAAAAACAAAAAAGAAAGGATATACATTTATCATTATTGATATTAGCACAGCGTTGCAGAATCGAAGCGTATTAAGATTTCCTTTCCTTTTGGAAGATAACTCGATTGCGTTATTCTACCCCTCCTGTTTTCTCAGTCTCGACCATTTTGAAATATTCTTTTCTGTTGTTCGTTTTATCTCATCTTTCTTCCTGTGTCCGGCGAGAGGGGCCTAAGCAATTGCAGTTGTCTAACAATGCGATTTCCAATTCAATTAATCATACATCGTCGGATTTGCACAGCTACTTAGGTCCGCGGACATTGGCATTTCGTTACAATTATACAGCTATATAGATTCTATATAAATACCTATTATGCATTCATATAATACATACCTAATATGCAATTGTGTTAAAAGTCGATCATCGCACAAATTTATGTAACTTAATTACATATACGTACACACCATGTCTCGTATTGTTCACTCTTTTTATGGTGGAATTATACGTCTTTCATGGTGAAATATATCTTGTATTTATTGTTATTTTCTGGATTCTCTGTAGAAAGTGCCGAAGTTCGCCGTGTTTGCCATTGAGGTTTGCCATATATGCAAATACTCGTGCAATGTGTGTGTGTGTGTGTGTGTGTTGTGTACGCGCGCGTGTGTGCGCGCGCGTGTGTGTGTGTGTGTGCGTGCGTACGTGCGTGCGTGCGTGCGTGCGTGCGTGCGTGCACGGGCGCGCGTGTATGTTTCTTGCATTCTATAAAAGCTTTTATGTACGTATGATTGTATGCGCACTTTTCGTACAAATCCATGAAAGAAAATGTAATGTACAATGAATTTTGTATGATATACATATTAATATGTATTAATATGATTTTGTATTCTCTTGGTTTAGCATCGTTTCCGTTTTCGTTCTCTCTCTCCTCCCCTCCCTCCCCCTCTTTCATCTATGTTTTATATATATATATATATATTTCATTAATTTTAATAGAGATGTCGTTCAGCTTTTAAATTAATGCACGATGTTGCGTGGTGCAGACAGTAAACATATAAATATCCGAATAAAAGACACAAATATCCCTTATCCTTATCCTTTTTGTCTCATGTATACATTCTGTTCAACTTAATTTATTACCATGGTAATAAATCGCACTCTCACCGTCGAACAAACGTAACAGAGTCGCACGTCAGCATTACCTTATCTACATCCAATTTACGATATTTCCGCGACAAGTGTTCACCGAAACTACAGTGAACTTGTGAGAATTTTCTTCTTTTCAGTTAAATTGAAGAGAGATGTACGTACTGTCTACATAGATATAATAGACCTTTATTCTTATCATTTTCTCCTCGCGACAACCCATATGTTTTCCTCTTACTTACTCATGATATAATCGTTAATATAACAACTATTTATTCATAAATTCTGAACGATCAAATTCAATTGTAACGTGATCTACACTACAGTCCATTTCCCGTTCGAGATTCTCGCCCGTTCGAACTTACACGCGCGAGATGCGAAACGTGTACGATTATCCGAAAAAAAAGGAACGCCCGAAAATTTAAAAGATTGTACCCGACAGGAGAATTAAAATTCAATCAAACAAACGGAGTGTCTACGTGAAAATTCAGGAAATGAACGGTAGTACTCATAACGTTAATCAATGGCAACTCGCGTTTGCCTAAAAAGATATCGCTCGATTTATTTATTATACTCTCGATTTCGCATTGTTGCGTATTTTTGTCTTTTTTTTTCTTTTTTTCTTTGTGTGTTATCTATGCCTGTGTTAGTCGCACGAGCGGCAGTGACTCCATTTTCCCTCCGTGCACACGCGCGCGCGCACAAGCGCGCACGCACGTCCACACACACATACACACACACAACATGCGCACGCACACGCACACCCACGCATCGTCATCATCATCTAATCTGCTCTTCTTTCCTTATCCTTGCGTGCCAACAATCATGTTAATAACCATGTCACGTGTCTCACACTTTTCGTTTTCTTCCTTGGTTTTTCCCCTCTTTTTATCAAATCTGTGGTTATATGAATATACTCAACAATCGGTCGATACTCTCCGCGATACAGTAGTCATATTTCAGGCGAGTTTTGGTGTTTGCGCTTAATGGCAAGTGTGATGCGACGATGTGACGTGACGATAGCAATGACTCGGCGATGGCGATGATCATACTGATGATAATGCCGATGGCCGTGTGTGTCGATGTCATAGCCGATGAATAATGTGACGATGACGACGATGGCAATATACTCTGACAAGTTCCGTTACTTCGCTTAATGACTTGAAAACGAGTTTACGAGTTTATAATTCCCAAATGTTCAAGTTAAGTTAAAGCCTTTTTCACTTGATTAAGGGTGAGTCTAGATTTGGATTGGGATTAGGCTGCGTATTCGAGGATGGCGATGGTACCTGCGCCACCACCGAGCCTTTCCCCTCGGACAATACGTTTCCTCCGCCACCACCACCGCCGCCGCCGCTGCTGCTGCTGCTGACACCGCCACCGCCGCCTTCCTTCATCTTCTCGCAGTAATCTGCGAAGATATCACGGAAACGTGCCCAGGATTTCTCTGGTACGGTGATGGCTGTCCTAAAGTTCGTCTTCACCTGCAAGAATGTAATCCGACTTTACATTATCCGTTATCGTAGACAAATTGATTTACAATTTTGTTTCTCTTTGTTTTTAGTATATTTTATTTAGGCCATAAAGTAATATGGATTGTTTTGATTTTATAAATGAAGACATAAGTATTCATAAAATGTTTACATAAATCAAAGAAATATTTCCCAATGTCCCAGAAATGTTTATATAATTTGCATTTAAATCAAAAAGCATTTTTAGATATCAATTTTCAATATATTTAATCCTCAAAAACCAAACTCATAGGTCTTTTCAATTGTCCTAGCAATTAGCAATGTATAGAAACACTTAATTTAGAAAAGAAACATTAAGAAGTGAAGGACCTTTATGAGATAGATATTTTACATTGTGTAAAATTTCAACTTTCTTATTTTTTTACATTATAACAAGATAGAATAGACATATATAGTAAAAGAAGTCAACATGAACATATTGAAGAGAAATTCTTTAAAACAAAACAAATTAATCTAAAAATGTAAAACTCTCAAACAAAACTTATGTAATACATATAATGCTTTTTTATTAATCTAAGATTTTAACATACGTTTATGATACTTGCTAAAGAAAAATCTTTAAAGACAATTTTAGTGAAACTTCCCTGAATCTTAATAAAATTGAATGCCTGAGAATCGTTTTTATATATCAAATTATTCTAGATAAATATTATAATTTTATATATATAAATATAAAGTATTCTCTCTGCCATGTCACTGCAATAAGATAACCACTAATTAGGGTGAGTTTTTTCTAGACAAAACAACGATTTTTAATAAAAAGAAAAATATGACAAAAATACAGTAGACTTAACAGTTTCAAATAATTTATCTGTTGATAGATTCTTATGCGACTAATGCAGGTGTACCTCAGAAATTCTCATATAGATGCCACGATTGTTCTGGCCGATATCAAAATAGAAATTCTTGCTATCCACACGCATATAACGACCCTCCGGCAAATCGCCTTTAAAGCCCCCGTCGTCCGTCCCAAATTCCTCAAGAAGATCTGTTAATGCGTCACGAAACTCTATCATGCCTTGCGCTGGTATTGCAATCTGAGTCCTGGGTCCACCTCGTGTTATCGTTTGTGACACCTAGGAAAAGCAACGCAAATATTACACAAGATATTCCATCCCAATTCGCTGTGTTGTTCGGATTTATAAGGCGAGAATATCGTTACACACATTAAATAAGCTCTTTTTTTTAATCAAAAAATTCTAGAACTCTATTTATCTTTTCCGAAAAGAGCAGACGAAAGCCTCTTGAGACGAAAGCCGACACAGAGTCTTCTTATGATTTAGCGTAGAAAGTGAGTACATTGGCTGGTACATACAGGGTGACTCACCCGCAGGAAACGGCCGCGAGAATTCTCCTTGAGGTCCAAGTAATATCGTCTATTATCCTTCACCATCATTTCTGACTTGAGTTTTCCGTCATCTGGCACGTTTTCCGGATTTGGTGGACCTGATTATCCGGTAAGCGAAGATGTTAATGAATTAAATATCTTTTCCAAACAGGACATACAAACATAATAACTGAAGAGACTCATCGTAAATAGGAAAAAAGGTTCATTTTGTTTAGATCATATTAAAATATCAATTTTGTCAAGGAGTTTCAATATTGTATACAGAAAGTGTAATTTGCGAATTACAACAAAGGAAGATCATTCTTTGTATAAAAAAATAATCGAAAATGTGAAATAAATTTCTCCACACAAGGCATTGTTTTCAAGAAAATCAATTTTAAAAATTTATCGAACATGTGCGCGATTAACTTGACAGTTTTAACAGACATTCATCTCACTGTTCGTTATTTCGCGTTTGTATTCGTAAACACACATCTTGATATACAGGGTGAGGAAAAAGTATGGAAACCCCTAGTTTTCGAAAACTATGCATTTTAGAAACAAATGCTCGAGACAAAAGTTGTGTGGTTTCAAGGGGGACATAAGACGGTATCATTGGTTTGACCTTGGATAGTCGTTTGAAGGTTACACGAAGGTCATCTTGAATTTTTTAAACGGAAACCCCCATTTCTTATTATATCATATTTTTCTATAATATTAATTAACTGGACCAACTTTTGTCTGAAACATTTTTTATTTGTGTAATAATTTTTTAGATATTTAAAGAAAACTTGGCAACTTTTTCAATATTCGTCATACGATATCTCGATAACTGTTTATCGTGAGGAAAAACGATGCAGAATTTTTTTACTTGATTTGATGATGTTAAGAATATGCTGTTGCAATAGTACTCCAACTTTCGTAAACATTTGTGTACACATCTCCTTGGAGTTTTCATGTATACACAAATGTTTATAACTTAGTATTTCTATACAAGTCATGTCAATATGAGAATTATTTGTCATAAGCTGCACAAGAACCATGCATTCGTGTCACGTCACTGGGACAGAATAGAATAAAAAATAAATTTAAATGAGTACTCGTACCAGTATCTAAAAAATTGATTTTCTTTAAAATAAAATTTTATATAAAGAAATTTAATTTCACTTTTTTAAAATTTATTTTTACATAAAACCTGAACTCCTTTTCGAGTGTATCACGAGTCATGCCCCATGTATATTAGATAAGACTATTGCAATCAATCGTACTCTTGTGATTCTAATTGATAGATGCTGTGATGTACCTAAAGATGCATAAAAATCGCTAAATGTCGACAGATGGTCCCGAAACTCGGATGCTGTACTGAGTGCCAGGTAAATTTGGCTTCTTCTCCCATCCGCTCCAATCTAATATAAAGAAACAATTTATAATAAATTATTATTATTATGCAGCACGATACATCAAAAGATAAGATTTTACATAGATAATTATTATTGTTTGACTATATAATAAAATGAACATGTTTGTGAAAATATGTGAGAAAATATTGTAAATTTCCACAAACATTATAAATTTTTAAGTTAAGTTTTGTAGTTTTTATCATCACAGATTTTAAATGACCTAATTAAAAAAATTTTTAATTAATAACTACTAAAAATAAAAAACTATTTTGACAATGTACTATTTTCATATATGTTATAAGTCTGTATTTCTGATATTTTGTTAATAACACAGGCCGACAAATTTTATGCAGTAACACCAATAAATAATTTGTTTTTTAATTAATACTGCATGAAAAGCGCCTTTAAGACAAATAGGGATGATTTGCTGTCCGAAATGAGAGAGTTCTGACTTACCACAAATTGTTCTCGCATACTTCCGACCATATTTCAGGTTTTTCTACAGTGTTATATGCAAGTAACACCGATAAATAATTTAAAAAAAAATTAATACTGCACTTAGGTATAAAAAAACGTTTTGTCAACCTGTGTAATGCTTGTTATTAATGAAATCTAAAAATCGTATAACACATGTATAACATAAGAATTAATTTAAAAGATGAGACGATACCTCGGCCACTTTGATAAATCTCCCACGTCTGTTTTGTTTTACATCAAGGTAGAATCTTTTACTTTGAATTTGCAACATTTTCGTCGCCAGTTCCTGCTCACTCTGCTGGCCTTGCTGACCTACAATACAGACAAACACATTGATATCATTAGTAACATGTTGTTGCACATCATTCAATCCTAAACTAGCAGAGTTTTATTAAAAATTGAATTAAATTGATAAATATTTCTCATTTTGCAAAATAATTATTTTATAACATTTCTTTTGTCAACACCTTTTAACCAAGATATTCAACTTAATAACGAATAATGTTTAATTTAACGGATAATACATATGCACAATTAATTTACATTTAATTTAATCAATTCTTTTCAAAACTATTATGTTATACTTATTGTTAGAGTCCTAAATAATAAGAGAAGCGCAATCGGCATCTCGCTTGCGCTTCTCTTATATCTTATACATATATATAAGGAAAATTTTCTATTAAATAACTCTTCAAGATCAAACCAATGGTATATTCTTATGACCCCCTCGAAACCATACAACTTTTGTCTGAAACATTTTGCTCTACAATGAAAAATAAAAAGTCATTTGGGATGGGACATTAAAATGGGACACCCTGTATACGTATGTGTATAAAAACTGAACCTTTTCACTGATTATCGCACAATCCCAACATTTTCGTGATACTCTATCGATATTCAAAGATTGATTCCAATATCTGAGTTTTGGGGAAGTTAGAGCGCGAACAGCACATGCATACGCGCGCACGCACCTACAGACATTTTCTTAAAAATCTCGAATACAATTTTTTTTCATGAAAGCAAAGCTTCCTCTATGAGGAACCAAAAGGAGTAAGAACCAAGGCAGGATGCTAGTGTTTAAATAATTTTAATTTTAAGTCTATTGCGAAAGTAATGCCTCAGCCAGGGTTTACCTGGACTTCCCTCTCACTAGGCAGGCATCTCGCCAACTCATCAAGGCATTGTGGTATTACCATCATTATTTAGACACTAACATCCTGTCTTGGCTTTAACTCCTTTATTACTTCGTATTTGTGTTTTCACATTAGAGTCTTATGAATTTTATTAATTGTAATATTAGAATTGATTCTGCTTGTTGTGGTTATGCTAGCTTATAAGATGTGGACTACTCTTTTAAGAAAGTTAAGGAAGTAACTTTCTCGAGGGGATGTCCCAGTAGGACCCAAACTTAAAAATTTCAAATAGAACCTCCCACTCCTCATATTAGTCCATCGTTTGAAAAGGCTTAAAAATAAAAATTTTTGACACAAGGCAGAGGTAAATACATTTATCTGTTCGAGAGTTGAATCGAAGTTCGAACAACCATTATGGTATCTTCTATTTGGAATATTTTTAAAAAACCGTTTGAGGAGTTAAAAGTGTCATCTTTTTATACACTTTCCATTTAAAGATTCAGATTTGACTTTAAAGTTTTCTAAATTGCGAAAAGTTTATTCAGCGAACAAAAGAACTACAGAAAACAAGTATCTTCGTTGTTCTATATCTTTGTGGAGAACAGTATTAAGTATTATAGACGACAATTTTATGAAGATCAGTTGCACGAGCATAAAATTGAATCAGAAGAGCGGGGAGGTCCACAGAATCTGGTTTGGGAGGACAGTGAGGTCGGTAAAGAGGCAACCCAATGTTTATTGAATCGTGAGATTTTCTATTCATTCAATTTTCTCAGACTCTCTCCCCTCCCCCTTCCTTCGCCCCTTTCCTTCATACTATCTTCTCTTTTTGTCCCATACTTTCTCCTCTTTGCTCTCCTTTTTGTCTTGACAAGACGATCTTCAAAATCAATTCGGGAAGAAGCCGAAAATATTCGAAATCTATGAAGGTTGCTGCGGTTGAATTCACACAAGTGGCCTATGTTTTGCTTATCGAGAACAATTAATTCCATATAATATGCACTCAAGCGATCTTGCTAGTCCCCTTCGATCAATAATAACTGCACCAGAGGGCAATGAACCTATATATCTTATTCCCTGCTATCACAATTGGATATGCCCCTACCTCTTTTTATAATACCTATATTTTTTCTTATCCTGAACCACCTCTCTCTCCATTGTCTCCCTTTTCTGGATAGATATTATTCGTTTTCAAACAGAACAACTTAGATCAACGAGATATGTATGTGTGTGTGAGCGCGCGCGCGCGCGCACCATAACTTTTTGTTGAAGTAATTGCAAATAGAGTGTGATAATATTATACAAAATAATACCATAACTCAGAACAATAATAATAATAACAATAATAATCTCGAGAATTGGTCATACAAAATAAGTTAGACATTTGTGTAAAAACCATGTAAACGATTGATATAATGTAGCTTTTCACTTTATTACATACTAGATTGGTGAAGACCACCTGGAATTGGAACGGGACTAAGATCACCCTGGAAAATCCTGCTCTTGAACATCCTATCGACACTACGGTAATCTGTACATTTGTCTGTACATTTGTACATAAAAAATTCTTTCCCCTCTCTCTCTCTCTCTCTCTCTCTCTTTCTCTCTTTTGAACTTGAATTCTCTCTTTAAAAACCACGCTACATTGCTGAAGCTTGAAGTTCAATAAAATAACATTGATCAGTAAGTATCTACTTGCCAGTTCTATTTGTTTTTCTTTTATTGTAACATTTTTTTTAGACGTTTAGATAAATTTATGTCCAAAATCTTACATTTCGGAAGAATTTATGTTTCGAAAGAAGCATTTCCATGCATAATGGCGTATTCTTCTTTTCCAAATCTTGTGTCAGTCTTTTCATTTATATTCCTATGTGAGTTGCTGGAAAAGTTCAGCTTGGAGTAACTCGGTGAAAAAGATTATATATTTTGTTTTGGATAATTCAGTGATCAGAACTTTCCCCGGGTCCTTTTACTATTAAATCTTCACTTCAATCTATTCACGGAAAATGAATTGCTGAATTGATTGACCAAAAATCGATGAATGTACCATCATTGGACAAGAGAATATCTTCCAATTCTCTTTTGACAATTATCTTAGCAGCTATCTTCTTTCTCGATATCCCATTTATCAATACTTGCTGATTTTCTCACGATACCTGCAGAAAATCAACACAAGTTTCTACGGATGTGCACTTTTATGATTGCGCTCCACTTTTTACAGGAGTCTCTATGTGAATAAACTGCCGCATCACTTCTATCAGTTCTTTCCACTTCCCTTGGCAAACATAATATGCCCAAGACCAACTGTTACGACTTATAGTCCACCGATGTTTGGTCACTACGTCACATTGATCCATATCAAATCTGATTCCCCTTTCCTGCTATTGACACTTTCCTACTTGTTCATTCCTTCAACGCAATTGGTACCAAACTCGCATTTTATTTCTTCTTTCTTCGCGTAAATATTTATTACATGTATGTCTGCTATTATCACTTGCATTTGATCTTCCTGCGTTAGAAGAATCTTTCCGATCTGTGTGTGAAAGAGAAAACGATTAAGACTATTATTTTCTCTCTTGTCCTCGTTTCTTCATTTTCTTCCTTCCAAGGATCGCTCGGGATATGCCAGCTACTGAATTATCCATCGCATCAATTAGTTGTAAATTCAACGAATGTAGGTGAGACTTCTATAATATCAAACAAGAATCAATAATTCTTTAGCACAAATTATCCATCAATCTCTCTTACATCTTAATTGTGTCAGATATCGACATAAATTCTCGTGCACTTCTAATAATGATCTTTCTCAAGTTAGCCTCTGGAAATTAGTATGTCATATGATATCCGTGATTCTCCTGGACACACTCGAAAACGGGATTCTTCGTAAAATCCTATTCCTCATCGGCCACTTCTCCACGGTGTCAATAAACAATTTTTGTGACTAACGATTAATAATCTGTACAGAAACGCCTACTTCAATTCTCGCCCGTCGGCTTGCACCGACATCATATCGCATTTGCACATGGTACGCGAGCCTCAAACCACCATTTTGTAAATACGACACAGCGCGCCATCATTATCACTGTTATCATCGTCTTCGGCCAATAATAGGCTTTAGTCATGATCATTCCTTGCTTTACGAGTCCCATCCTTTCCATCCGTGTTTATCGTTTATGACGTTGTCGTATCGGGACGTTTCCTTCTTCGAGATCATCGCTGTTTTCAATCTCAAAATTACCTCTTGCCGTTATATTAAATCTCAAGCACATGGGCGTTCAAGATTTATCACGGATCTATCCAAGATCACGGAAAGCGACGAGAGGAAAGAGTTCACTGACGAAGGTGGTGGCGGTGGCGGCGTCAGTGGCGACTGCAAATACAGACGATTGCGAATGCATTGATCTCTATGCCCGAAGCACGGCTCCTGGCGCTCGACACCGACCTGCCTCAATACGAATTTCAATGGCAACTCCTCGACCTCGTCCACGCACCTCTGTGAAGTTGGCACCTCATGTCTCAAAAAATAATTTTTTTTTAC